TTCGAGTGAAATTAATAAAAGTTCAATATAATTTGACTGCTATCAAGAATAACAACAACTAGCAATATTTTATAACAGAAAAGAACAGTATCCTCAGGTTTTTAGTAATTGTAGCAAATAACAATTAATCTTTAAATATATATTGTACTATAATAAAACTTTAATGGGCACACCTAGTGTAATGGCCTAAAAAAAGGTGATTTTTGGGAATTGTTATTAAAAAAATACTTTATCAATTATTTAAAAATTTTAATAATATATTTATACATGTTTCAAGAATATACAGTGAAATTTTTGAAAAAAAAATAAATATTTTTTAAGTTATAGTCGATCTCCGACGGCGCGAAAAAAAGGTCCTTCACTGCAGCAGTGATTCGGGCCTTCTCCTTGGATGAAATCTGAAAAAAAAAAACTATTTGAGATATCGATTTGAAAATTAGTATGTTATTTTTAAAGGCCTACTCTAACGAAATATGGAAAAAGATCGATTTTTTGAAATTTCACACTAGGTGTGCCCCTTAAATTATTTAATATAAATAAACATTTTTTTTTTAATATTGCGTACTCCTTCTCCAATCATGCATAGAAATTAATAACATTGATTATGATTGCGTTAAATTTCAAAATGTTACAATTGCTATTGAATGAAAAGTTTTTTCCATCCTCCGTTTTTTCATTCCTCCGTTTTTGAATAAATATGAAACAATTAATGAACTTCTTTATGAAAGATTTTCTCTTTGTGAAGAAAGAAGATTGGAGAAACTCTTTTCGAATACTCAACTTGGTGATTGATCACCTTCTTTATTTGTTGGCTTCAACTTTTTATAATAATAATATTAAAGATGAACAAAAAGTTTTAAACAAAACTACTGCAGATATTAACGAATTTCAAATTATATCAAGATCTAGAGATTGATATATTATACATATAAAGATCTAGATCACGAAATTTTTTAAGACACAGAAATAGGAATACTCAAAATATCTGTTGACATCATCAATAATTTAAAAGTTATGTCTCAAATGTATGCAGCCCTGTTACTTTAAATTTAACACAAATATTCCAAATACAAATTCTTTAAACTAAAAAGTGTCATTATGACGATTGATGATATTGGAAATATTACTAAGCCTATACGTGGACTTTTTATTTTCGATAAATTTAACAAAATAAATTTTTTGATTGATTCGATTATACCATCTACGAAATTCAAATCATCACCGGATCGAATATAGAAACATTTTGAACAAACTTTTAAAACTAGATTTAGATTTAATAAGAAACTTCGAATTTCCATTTATAATTGTTGATATTTCACTTACAGTTATTGGTGCTAATTTAAAAAAATTTAAATTTTAGTATACTCGTATATCAAAAAAATTTTAATAACAGATTTAACAACTAAATTTCGAATCTCTGGATCTTCCGGTTTTTGCGCCAATTTCTTAATTCGAATGCCACGTACAATTGATTGGGGAACATGTAGCGATTAAATGTGAAGATTAAATTTTATAACTTTTTCAGATCGGTATCTATAACCTCGACATCCATAACCTCACATTCACGATTTGAATAATGACTAAAAATATGGAAAGTTTCATACGTTTGCTTTTTCAACATGGAAACAGTGCTTAAACATTATAACGATTTATTAAAGAAATATTTTTTGGATTAGATTTCGTATTGGTTTACAGCGATAATATTCTTGTGGTCAGTGGCAATGAAGATCAATATATGAGCATTTAAAATCTGTATTTAAAAAACTTCAAAATTACATTTTAAATATTAAGCATGCTAAACGTTTTTTTTTTTTTTTTGAAATAAATATCAGAGCTCCTTCAGAACGATTCGATTAATAAATAACACAAATTTTTTGTTATATTGAATTAATATCATAGGTATATTAAAATCTTAGCAGCATAACTAAGTTATCTGCATGGAATAATCACGTTTACAATTAAAAACAAAGTAAGAGAATTAAATTGGACAGGTGAAACTACAAAAGCTTGCAAAATGTTAAGCAACTTTTCGCACAAAAATCATTACTAACACATTTTGACAAAAACGGCCAACTATCGATTGCCGTAGATGCTTCAAATGAATTTTATATTTTGCGAGAAAATCAATTTCAATTAAAATTAATTATTGAACATTCGATAGATAACTTTTGGCAATATATAATCTCGATTCATCAAGCAAAGAATATAGTTAAATATCTTAAAATTTAAGGACTAGTGAATATGGATTTGTGAAAGTTATTCGCAACTCTAGTATTCAACCACCTTACGAGAGACCTTTTGAAGTATCTCCAAACACAAAATAAAACTTTCGGAATACAACATGTAAATAATATTAAAACAGTATGAACTAATTTACTTAAACCGGAAAACAAATAAAGGAGCAAATGAAAAACCAAACAATTCAAATTTAATATATTATACATATTATACATATGTGTACATATGTATGTGCATGTAACTCCAATTTATTGCTCACATATATAAATACAAATCTGTTGGCATTTTCTTTGATCTTTATAATATGTGCTTAGAATCCTTTGCCGATGAGCCAAAATTATTTCGAATTGTTTGAACAATGATAAAAGATATAAAATATAATATATATAATTTGCGCTTTGTAACCGCTCAAGAGATTTTCGGCCGAGCTCCTCATCCAATTCGTGGTTTTGCGTATTGATGTTTTTTCAACATAGGGATGGACCCACAGTTTATATTAAGCCGCCTCCGAACGGCTGATGGTTTTTTACGAGGAGCTTTTTATTTCATGTCAGAATTACTCTCCGAGGGGTTGACATTCCCTGCTGAGGGGCGACCTCAATTAGGAAATTTAACTTCATTTTTTATTTTTTGTAAATTAATTCTCTATAACTTTTGATGTTGGCCGTACCAGAATTTGAACCCGTGCCTTCTTAACGGGAGTACGCAATGCTAATCACTCGGCTACCGCGGCCGCAAATTTAATCTTAATTAATCGTATTAATATGCTTTTCACTGGAGGGGAAGTAAATGGGGCAAACTTCCATACGATGTTTTACTATTTTTTTGTGTCTTTATTATTGTATATTAAATATTTTCATTTTTTTAATTATAATGATTCTGATTTTGAAACGCTGCATATGTAAAATAGTATAATTTATTTCTTTGAAACACATTTTATAAAGATTCCTTTAATAATAATATATATTGTAATCTATAATTTATATATATACACATGTACACACTCATACATATGCAAACACACACATAGTTTTTTGAGCATATAATGAAATTCATATTTTTTTTTTTTGTCACATACATATATTTTTATATTTAATATGGTTCACAGTCGCATGCTTAAGTTTGTTGTGACGTAGCACTCCGGCTGGAATAACCCAAACAGATTTCCCTATATCTAAGCAGTTTTCCATTGCAAATGCAACACAAGCTTACGTCTAGTATGAATCATTTTATATATGTTGAAGTTATACTAAAGTACTTTGAAATTGGGATTTACGATAACGAATAGTCATGTTTAGTTCAGCGCAAATCGTTTGCAGAGAACAATTTTTTCTGTTCTTTAACGGTCGAGATTTTTTAGATGCATTCTCTAAGAAACAGTGAAATGTCAAAATTATTAGCAGAATAAAAATGGAATAATAGTCTATCAGTGGCGTCGTATACATATGTCCACATATTTCTCATTAAACCTCTCATAGAGTTAAGTCTTTGCTAGTTATTTTAGAATTGGCTCCTCAATTCATTGTAGCACCTGTGAGCAGAATGGATTCTGCTTTCATTGATGATAATGATGACTCCTTCCTCCATGACTTAGCCAGATCCGAAAATATAAAAATCGCATTGGCGGGAAATCTTCTCTTTTCTCTGGTTTTCTTATAGCCCTTTTTTACTTGAAAAATGGTTCATGGTTCAGTTTGCTTAGATTTTTGTTTCTTGGAAATTGACCAACACATAAAAACAAATAGTCAGATCAATATAATAGTAAAAAACTTAATATATCCAATTAGATGATGCGTTTCTACCGTTTTTTGCAATACCAGATAGAACGAAAAACATAAAGCACATAGGATTGTTTCCAAAAAACTTAAATGACAGTCTTGAAAAAAATATTATTCTTTCAGAAAGCTTATCAAACTTAGCTTTTTCCAATGCAGGCAATTAAAAACTCACATTCTAATTATGCAAATTCCTTATCCCAGCACTGGTCGAATTATTTCCATTCGCATATGCGAGGAAAGTGAGAAAGTGGAGAATGGTAAATGTATGGATACTAAAGTACTTTAATTGTACAACAACATCCAATTAATATGTATATATGTATATACATAATTGAAGCTTTGTAACCACTGAAACGATTTTCACCGGAGGGACTCGGGTTAGTGGTATGCGTCTTGATGTTGCTCCAACAAATGAATGGATCTACAGGTTATACTACGTTGCCTCTAAACGGTAGGTGGATTTTGATGAGAGCATTTATTTCATGTCTTGTATACACTCGGAGCCAAGGAGCGACCGCAAACTAATTTTCTATAATTTTGGATGTTGGTGGAGCCAGAACTCGAGCCCTGACGTTCGGATTCATAATACGCAATGCTAACAACTCGACTATTATTGCCGCCAATCCAAGATTAATCGAAAATTAATGTGAGGCAAACCAAAAGTCAGACTTATTTATGTAATAATTTTCTGCATAGATTATCTTTGGGTATGCATGGTGGTGTTGTGGGCAATAAGCAGCGGGTGATCACGCCACATGTCGAAACCTGCTTCGGATTGCTTGCTTCGCTCTTTTGCGAAATGCAATGAAGACCACTCATACATGTACACCAATTTACAATACATTTATATATATACCAACCAAGAATAAGTCAGTTACAGAAGACATAATACAAGTATTTGTTCTAATTACATTGTAAACAAAAGTTTTTAAATAATAAATGCTCACTTGTTGCTGGCTTCCATGCTCTCAGCTACATAAGAAATACGAGTATGTAGGTTTAAGCTCCGTCTAAGTACGAGTTTCTCAGAAATTGAAGCTGAACGGCCGTATGGTTGCCTCTCAGTAGCAAGTCTTATGAATTATAAAACCGTAAAGCAACTATGCAACCGTTTCAGTTAATTGTTTGTTTCGCGTTGGAATTGAAGTGGTGTTCTCTAAAAAAAAAAGAAACGTGTTTGCGCATTTGACCAGCATTTAAACTGCACGATACCTCATATTATACATAGTACATGTATGTATGTATTTATAAAATAAACGAAAAAACACACATATCTGCTGATAGTTTTCCTATAAAAAAAAAAAAACTATTCCAATACACAAACATACGTACTGCAATATAAAGCCCGCGCATTAAAAGTTAAAATGCCACAAGATATAATTGAACGCCAAAACTCATCCATGAATGGGAATGCAAAAGATAGATATGGGCGACCTGCCAATCCAGCTGTAACGTTTACAAATTCTGGTTTCATTAATGATGAAAATGGAGCTGAAACGATATTTCGTCGTAAGAGTGGTAATGCCAATAGCCTACAACTGGCTGAAAATATAGACAACAAAGAATCAGTTACGCAAAACCCAACTCCTATGGATTTCGATGACATCCTGCCCATGATAGGAGAGTTTGGAAAATATCAAAAAATTTTATTTCTTCTGATGATACCTTTTGCTACATTTGTAGCATTTGTTTATTTTTCGCAAATTTTCATGACACTTGTACCAGAACAACATTGGTGTCACGTGCCGGAGCTGGAGGAGCTAACAGTTGAAGAAAGGTAAGTACTGTTATATATTGTACATTTTTATCCATAGTGTGTGACACTAATTATCATAAGCAAATGTATTGGAATATTTATATTATAAACTATTATTTTACAGTTTGAAAATAATTTTGGTAAAAAATGGAAATAATGACAAGCTTAATATTTTGTTTTCGAGTAATTTTCATGAGCTGCAAACAAGATTATAGTGAATTTGGAATTAAATTCAATGAAGAAGAAGAAAGAATCTCTATTAGTTAAGAATCTACATTAGTTAAGAATTCGCTAATACATAAAAGAAACTGTCTACCCTCAAATAGAAGGTGTTTTCTTAAATTAAATTAATTTTTAAATAAATTATAAAGCAGCCTTGATGTGTAGGAACACGTATAATTTAATGCGGATAGAAACTTTAATCATTATAAAAATTGTGTCTGCTGCCTTTCCTATAACAAACAAAAAACATGGAAAATATAAATAGCACAACAATCAGCTGTTTCGATAATTCAAAACAAGAAAAGATTAATCCGAACAATAGAAAATCTAAATAGTAGTGAATTGCTTATTCGCGGAACAATTTATTTATAAACATACATATGGGCCTTAGTATAATGGAGATATCCGGATGTATACACATTGGAAATTTGTATTTTTAGTGATTGACACTTGCGCGACTTTAGGTTGAGCTTCTCGTCCAATCGTCGTGTATCACTATACTTATACATACTTATACTTATGCTTTTCATAGCGCCAATGAATTTTTTCTACAACACACAATACATTCGTACACACCTTAAATACACACAAAATATCAAAGACAACCTCTACTTTCCCGAAGTTTTGCTAGTGTAATTCGAAAGTGTATTATATTTATGCGTTCTATCATCCTTGACGATCCTCCTGCTGTTGCGCATAACTATTTGTATTCATTAACTGAACCTGTATTATATAAATCCCGGATTTCTTAATACGCGCAAATACTACATATGTATGTGTGTATGTAGTCAAAGTCTTTGAATGCTGTTGATTATGTTTCATTAACTATAAAAATAAGTTACATCTATAATTCTAAAACCTCCCTCAATTAAAATAATTCTAAATAATATTTACGTATATTACATTATGTGTATGTACACGTATGTACGTACATGCATGCATAAAACGTTTCATGGCTGGTTAACGGCACAAATAATACTTATGTACCAATAACAACCGATCAGATGGTAATTAAAATTTTGTTCATATAAGTATAATGTAAATGCGATATACTGAATTATCAATATACTTATGAATTTATAATAATATCAGTATATAATATACAAAACATTCAAAATTAAATACATTTATGTACACGTACATATGTATATAATTTGAATTTGATTTTATCATTCCCTTTATTTGACCAATTATTATTTCTATTTTAAACTCAGTATTTCCGAGAAGCTATGCTAACTAGTCCATAGTTGTAATTTTAGTATCAATAATATCAATAATTTTTACTAGATCTTAAATCGCTTTAAGGAAGATATAAATATGTAAATATGCATAAGTCGGAAATTTACAACATTTTCGATGCGACCGATGGCAACTTGATGCCGTCGTAGTGCTGGCCTAAAACTGTTTATGTATGTATATAAGAGATTATAAGTAAACATGCGAGTTTTTCACATAAATTTTAGGTTTTCGAAGCACCACGCGCTATTTTTTACTTAAAAAGGTTCCATCGATTTGAAACATTATGAACATATGTGTGCACATGTGCATGTGTTATTAAGCGACAAATAAATCCTTTAAAATTAATGCCAATTAACGAAAAATATATGTGTATGTGTACATCGCTTAACCCGTCAGAGCTATTTATATCAATTCTACGACTACGAACTGCAGCAGAAGTGAAAATTATTATATGTATATCAATGTCATTTGGTGGTGTTGGCGGCATTGTTACATACATAAAAATCGCATATGTATTTAAAAAATGACATGTAATTGTATGCAATGGGCGCTTTGTAACCGCTAAAGCGTTTTTCGGCCGAGCTCTTCCTTTATATTTTGCTGGGATGTTTTCTATAGAAATGGGCTGATGGATTTTTACGAGAACATATTCATTTCATGTCAGAAATATATGATAAGGAAAACAAAATACCTTTAAGTGAATTGTAAATATTTTACTAGCAATTACTAAATCACAAAAAAGTTTAAGAGATTTTAAAAACTATTTTCCAAACATTTTTTTTTAGGAATCTTGTGCTTTTTTCAGCCGAAAGCTGTTCTAATATTTCTGATAAAATGTGTAAATTTAGGGATATATATATATGTATGTGTTAAATATTTTTAGTATTCAATAAAATATCGTATAGCAGTTTGACACGTCATAAACCTTTTTAAAAATCACTTTGATAAAGCGAATTACTGAAATGGGCAACATGTCAGCAAATATTTGCATAACGTCTACATATTAGTCAAGAGTTCACGAGTTTATTCGTACACATTGAAATGAATAATCGAGCCAATAAGCATATCTACCGTAAATAATTTGAAAAAAAAAAAAATAATTTCTGTCTAAGACAAGGACAAATGAGTTGTTGCCAGAATGGTCACGATAAAATAGATTTTCACGCACCTGCATTAGTATTGTATATACTTTTGTACAAATTAATGTTGGCTAAAATGCGCATTTACGTTTGCCAATTCGCTCAAGACCGTTCCGAATTCTTTCAAGCCAAATATTTTTAGGCTAATTGGTCTTCAAAATATGAGTTTGAAAGAACAATGAATTTTTACAAGACAAAATATTATTACAAAAACTTTCCTTTCAAGAAGTAAATATTTTTGAAACAAAATACATATATACGTAGTTCGGAAGACAATATCATAAAATTATACAAAATTAATTTAAATAAAAGTTTAACGGAATGTCAACCCACTCGACTCTGGCAGCTTCAACGACTAGCTTTTATTTTACGCTTTATTTTCTCGCTAATTTCTTTAAATCCTTTTATCATCAACGTTGCTTTCGCTGCTGAAGTCTGTTGAAATTTAATTAAAAATTACAAGTGCGTAGAAGCCAGTACAAATATTGAATTGAATTGCAGGTTTTGTTGAACAAGTTTGTTTCCAGCTGAATCGAAAATCGGTTTTGCTTGTTTTCGAAAAAAGTAAAACCAAGTAGGTTTCATACAGATATTGATTTCCAATTCCAATATTTTTTATTGAATGTCGATTTTTATAGCACCCCTGATTTAGACGCCACACACGTACAAATTAGAGGAATAACTTTTTTTAAGCATTTTTACCGACTGGCTTAATATTACTCATACGACATGGTGGCTTTCTTTATTATAAGAGTAAAGAATTCTTAAATTTAAAAAACTGCTTATGGTCTAAGTGTGCTTCAAATTAGTATTTAACGGATTGGAATACATAAAAGCTAGGCTTGCTTTAGATCTACAACAATTTATAAGTACCGTAATTTAGAATTTTTGCTATTTTAACCTTTTTTCTTTTGCTTTAGTGGGGGTTGGCATATTAATAAGAATTAAATAGTAAGTAAAAATCAGTAGTTAATTACACACTGTAAATAGAATATTTTGTTGACTTTACGTGAAAAAATCAAAGACTTCTGTTATATTTAAAGGATTCTTCTAATGCCCACCGTCAATAAATTTATTGAAACTATGCCAATTCTTGGAAAAGACATGTGAAAAGAGGATCGCCGATTTTAACGCACGTGTCGACTATAAAAAAAGGAGATGCCTTTGCACCGCAATGTCTGAATTTTGTATCTCCGCAAAACTTACACGGCTGTGTAAATAAACTCCGTAGCACTCCGAGTCGTTCGATACTAAACAAATGATACTAAATGGATAGGGTAGTAAATGAGGGCAAGATGAAATATCTCCTGATAAGGTTCAATCAGTTTATTGACAGTGGGCTTTAGTCTTTCACACAAAACGCTCGATAGGACCTACACACACGTATATACGATAATAACCCTTTGCACTCCTGACAAAAAACATTTATGAACAAACACGTATATATAAGTATAAAAATTTCATTAGTTTATTCATTTAGATGGCGAAAACAACAAACTTTCATAAGTATTAAGCTCTGTAATTAGTTTTGGTGTGATATCTAGAAATACAATAGCTAACATGCTTCATAGGTTTGCCTGAGCACGTATGACAGGAATATGAAATTGTACGCCTTTTTCCAGACGTGCTATGAACAAAATTTCCAGTCCCTTTTTGATCCCTTTAGTATTACGTGAAGCTTCCCGTTCAGTCGGATTTCGTCGGAATGCGATGTAGATGCTTGGTACCGTTGCTGGCGATATTAGCTCTTAATTGTTTCACGAGTGTCTTTAGGAAACGCAAATGGCTCACTGGCTTTTCCCCTCTTTTGGTCTTTTCTTTATTTCTTTCATTAACCATTAGTTCATCATTGAAGTTCCTATTATTTAGCCCTGACCCAAGGCAACACACGGGTTAATGACCACGTCTTTCCCAAGGGTTACCCACATTTCCAGGGAGTGCGATGTGAATGCAAGATTAGGAATTGAGTATAGCCCCACGGCTGTATCTGTATACTCATTACGCCTTCTCTGTTGTAGGTTAATAACTCCGGTCTGTAAAGGAATTTTTTAAATCAAAGTACTAAAAATGCGCTCTTCAAATTCTTGCTCAATGTAAAAATCACTTTCTTGTTACTTTCTTTTTTCTTACAAATTGCACTATTTGTGCAAATGATAAAACCAAAAATCTATCAAATTGAATTAAACTTGTAACACGTATACTCGTACATACAAAACGTAATATTTGGTTTGTTTGTAATAATTGCTGCCTTAATTTTGTGTTGTATTTTTCACAATGGATTGCGCTCTAGATACCATGAAAAGACTAAGTCTATTTATTAAAACTGATTGCGTTGAGTCTGCTTGCACTTTAAAAAGTAAAGTGATTTGTACATGAACGCAGAAATAATAAATTCTATTAAGATGGTAATCGCATCCTTAGAGATTTGTCAAGTTTTATCCGTTTGTGCTCTTTCATGTTGCATGTAATAAGCTCCTTGCAGTTGTGCTGCCAAGCATATTAAATCATTTTTTAGTAGTAACTTTTACTTACATATATATAAAAGGGATCATCACTCCACTCTTACTGAACTACTGAATTATGTTGGCTCTTCCGGATATAATGGTCTCCAGAATCTTATTTCTACAAATTGCGATTCCAAAATACTTTCATTCTTCTTAAGTTAAGAACAAAGTTAACATACCCGAAGAATAATATATAATAAATATATAATAAAATATCACCATTCATTTAGTTATAATGTTCAGTGTTCTTGTGCTTACTTTGAATAATTTAGTTTCATTAATTTTATGTACCCGTTGTCAAGGTAATTCCCATTTTTAGTCGCAGTAATGCAATTAGAAAGTATCAACACTCAAGCATTAAATTGGCTGGTCATATGTATGTTCATAACTTATATTACAGTTAATTGAGTAAGTGTTGATACAAACATGTTACTCTTAATAAATTTGTATTGGAAATAGCATAGAATATTCGTTATTTTTAAGATAATACAGAGCTTTATGATAATAACAAGGTCCTTTAATTTAAAAAATTCAAAATATAAATTTTAATTAGAGTTAATAATTTTTATTTCCGACATATACAAACTAAGTAAATAATCAATTACATTCATTGCTGGTTACCTACTGCCAGCAAGCGTTAACTACACAAATGCACGAACGGCAACAACTAAAACAGCAGCAAAAGTTGAAGCACTCACTAGCAGCCAAATACAACTACGAGCACAATTAAAAATTGAAGGTCTATCTGCTTACCGTATTTATGTTTAATTTCAAACATATCTCCTTATCTACAATATCTCGCACAAATTGCCTTGGCCATAAAGCAATTCAACATCTTTTTTGAAAGTACTGCCAAATACTTATTTATTTATGTAAGCCTGAGTAAGTAAGTTCTACACACAATATGGCAAACTGTAAGGGGGATTAGTTGAGAGTATATTTTGATTTTGATTTTGCAGCAAAATTACATTAGCTTGTGCTGACCAACACTCCGAAAAAACAGTGTTAACCATTTTGTGGTTTCAAAAATCAACGTAAATAAAGGGCATTAAAAATATTTTTTTTTTCATGATATTTATTATAGAATTTGAAACTGAGCATTGTGTGTGAAACACTACAGCACTAAAACTACTGCCTCGCTAATTTTTGTAAACTTTTATTCCTTTGAGGTGATTTTCGGCTCCTTTTTGGCACACATTGGGCGGCATCTCAGCCATAACTTGACAAATGTTACTGTTGTTCTCTGAGTACCCCGTAAAAAAACTCCAACGTCGCCAAATCGCACGATCTCCGGACTAAATAGCGCACCAGGCAATAAGTTTTCTTGTTTGTAATGGCCTCTCTTCAAATATTTGGGGATTATCATAACCCCAAATACGACAATTTTGCCTATTTACGTATCTCCCGAATGAGAGATGTGCCTCGTTCCTGGAAATAAACTTATTCGACGTATGTACGGCATTGTGAATGGTCAGCTAGCTTCAATTCTGGTAAGTGTAGGTCCAAGTGCAAAATATGAAAGTACCTACCCTAGACCACGAAATAAACATATTCGGGTATTCGGCTACACTTTCACTTACAGTAGTGACAAGCAGTGACATGTGAGATTTAATGAGTAAAACAATGATGCACAAGCCTACCAACATCTATAACTGCTCCAGCCTTTTCAAACACCTTTAGAATTTTAAGTTAAGGTTAGTTTGATAGAAGACAAAAAACAACTCTGTGCTTTTGAAACCACGAAACGGATATCCCCATATATATCAGAATTCACTCTAGAATTTACCTAAAGAAATAATAAAAATTGGCCTCTACAATTTTACAATTTATATAAGGATAATTTTAAAACAAAATTTGATATATTTACAAATAATTTTTAACTATAACACAATTAATTAATTACCTAACTCATATCGGCCTTGAGATTGCCAGCAGAGGAGCTACCGTAATTGAAAAAGTTTATTACCAAGTGCCAAATAGGAGAGATAAATTCAAATCAATTCGTTTATGGCTTAATCTTTCATTAACTCCACTACGACATCTACGAAAGTTTTGAACGTGATTCTGCGAAAATTTGAAAATACAAATATTGTATGGAGCGCCCTAATAAATATATACATACATATGCAGCAAAACAATAACATTACAGTTACTGAACATTAGTTGTAGACACTAACGCACCTGTTGATCATGGAGGCTGTACTCATTTTTGTGAGAGCCGCCGCAAACATTTTTCAACACAAATTTCCTCTCGCTTAATCAAGGTCGAGTGTTCGTTGCCCACAGCTGAATATTGTTTGGCTGGTATTAACAATTCAAACTAAATTTCATTAAACTAATTCACAATTTTTTATTTATTTTTATCTGCTGGGTGTTTGTCCATTTAACTGCAAATTTTCAACCGTGATTCTCTAATGTACGTGTATGTATATTTTTATGATATGCTCATAAATAAGCATATATGCATACATATGCACATATGCATGTGTGTATTTACATTGCGTGTCTTAAATCTGCTAGCCTCTGCATAACAATTTAGTTGGTAATTTATAATAGTTTTAATTACTTTTTTTGAATACAAGTCAATGCATAATTTTATTGTTTATTGGCTTCCCACCTTATTCATCTCTCTTTATTAATTATTTGCATAGATTGGCCATCTCTATACCGAGAATGCGCGGCATTCGGGAATACGATAATTGCAAGATGTATGATGTTAATTACACGGAAGTGCTGGCCAAGGGTATGCGTCAAGCTGATCCGAATTGGCCAGTAATAGCTTGCCGCCACGGCTGGTCGTACAACTTCACAGATTATCCATACACAACGGTGGCTACCGAACAGAATTGGGTTTGCGAGAATGATGCTCTGCCTACTTATGCCCAATCGATCTTTTTTTTGGGTGCCATTGTAGGCGGTTTACTATTTGGCTGGATTGCAGATAAATTTGGGCGGATACCTGCGCTAATTGGCAGTAATTTAGTTGGTTTTGCGGCTGGTGTTGGAACTGCTTTTACTGCAAATTTCTGGCAATTTGCAGTGATGCGATTCTTTGTGGGATTCGCTTTCGACAATTGTTTCACCATGATGTACATTCTGGGTAAGTAATGAACTAAAATATTTATTGCTTTTCGAATGCACTCCTGCCGATATACCAGAGGACTTATAATCTTTTATTGTCTATATGGGACTCCATTTCAGTAAGGGCCCAATAAGAAGCAGCCATGTTGGCGCGGAGCATGTTGACGCAAAACGCAAAAAAAACGTTGACTTTGAAAATTTTCTAAAATCGAATCGAATTTTCCTGTAATTTAACTGCACGAATTGAAATTATTTTCAAAAACGTTCTGTCCTTGATTTATGCTGGTAGCAGGTCTTAAGCATACATTCCTCACGCTTTGATTAAAATGCACAATGGTCTTGAAAGGGGAAACCCTTCAGAAAATCGAGATTTATTGAGATAAAAGCTTTTAGCATCGTACTTGCATGTTGTTGTGAGTACCGTGTTGTAATGCTCCTTTTCTTCCTATATACTTTATACTTATACTTAATACAAAATATTCGAATGGCCTAGATTTTCCAGTCATGTTTCCTACTCGTCCTCTCTCTGAAAGAAAGAATCGAAGCACACACAAAATAATTTATAAAAAAATATTATTTCTAGGCAAGAAATTTTTAACGCAGCGTACATCCTTCTCATTTTATTTATTCCTATTTTCCTTACAGTTCTGGAGTACGTTGGCCCAAAGTATAGAACATTTGTCGCCAATATGTCTATCGCATTATTCTTTACTGCCGCCGCGTGTATTTTACCCTGGATTGCATATTTTATTGCAAACTGGAAATTATTTGCAATCACGACATCTGCACCTCTTGTTATAGTTGTATTAACACCATTTGTTATCCCAGAATCAGCAAGGTAAGGGTTTCTATATATGTATATATTTTTCTAAAATATATTCAAATGTTTCAAGTTTATTTTTGTTTTATTTCGCAGATGGCTTGTATCACAAGGAAAAGTCGATAAAGCTGTATCAATATTGAAAAGACTTGAAAAAGTGAATGGAAAGCATGTAACGGCAGAAACATACCAAACCTTTAGTGCTAGTTGCGTGAAATTGAAACAAGAGGAAAGCAAAAATAGTGGATATTCCATTTTAGATCTATTCAAAACACCGCGCTTGCGACGGACAACACTTCTGCTTATTATAATTTGGATGGCAATATCATTGGTGTTTGACGGCCACGTTCGGAATGTGAGCTCTCTGGGAGTGAATGTATTTTTCACCTTTACTGTAGCTTGCTTCACTGAGTTTCCGGCAGACACAATCTTAACACTCATATTGGATAGATGGGGACGAAGGTGGTTGGCATGTGGTTCTATGATTGCCAGCGGCATCTTCAGTTTATTGGCAACAATCGTGCCACAAGGCATTTACTTTGCATCATTTGCTATTATGGGAAGGTTTTTTGTTAATATTTCGTACAATATTGGACTGCAATATGCTGCTGAAATTCTTCCCACTGTTGTAAGGGCACAAGGTGTCGCCTTCATTCACATAATGGGATATGTAGCAAGCATTATAGCCCCTTTTGTTGTATATTTAGAGAAAGTCTCCCCAGTCCTCCCGTTGGTCATTTTGGGTATTCTTGGCATAATTGGAGGCCTTCTGGCTTTGCTACTGCCAGAAACTTTAAATCAAGATCTTCCTCAAACGCTAACAGATGGTGAAGAGTTTGGAAGAGGTCAGAGCATTTGGGACTTCCCATGTTTGACAAAAAATGTCGATGACCACAATAATTTAGAAGAGCGACCACAGAGGTTTGTCCGTTCAACACAAACCGGAGCTTCGCTTCGATCTTCAACTCGGGGTGAGTTACGATCCAGCATATTAAGAAGATCCGTAAATTCGCGTTACTCATCAAAGCTTTGAATTCATAGTCATAATATTATATATTGTGAAGTAGATTTTTTAATTTGCTTTTTTTTCATGAGTATATTTGTAGCAAAACTTCCTAAACCGCGTTCAAGAAGTTATTTGAGTCCATAAACTTGTGATATTAGTAATAAGTATAAATACGAGCATATACATATGTACGTACATATATGTTTGTGTACATAAAAACCCTTTAATAAAATACACATAAATGTTAATAATGTAAAGAGCTTGTAATAAACGAAGTATGAACCACATTCCGTAAGTTTCTTAAAAGTAAAGAAAAACTCCTTCAAATAAACAGAAATCAGTCAAAATTAACTCTGTGCGGGGAAATATATCAGTAGGAATTAGACGGTAATGAAATGTCATAATTCTGCTCATTCGTTGCAAAATTTTACTGGCTTTTACAGGACTTTTGGTTTTGGATTCTATGTGCTTGAGAAAATCATAACAATTCCGTTCCCCCAGCATTGTCTATTCAACTTGAAATCCGGTATGGGTTTCTAATCAGACCGTCCTCGAGGGGGTAATATATTTTTTGGAACTTTTTACTTTCGGTCCTTGAATCGCAGTTCATTAGAAATGCAGACGATTACATAACTGGGAAGTTGGCGCTAACACTTCCACCAAAAGGCACTGCATCGAATACTTTCAAAGCTGGTGTATTCTTATACATTCAGACGACATGACCTAGCCAACGTAGCCGCTGCTTCTGGCTTCGCTGAACTGTGTCAATATCACTACCTATCGTTCCATCGTCTACGGTATTCGCCCTTGCCAATGTGCAAAGGACTTCGTCCACCCTTCTGCACCACATAGTAGAAGCGGTATGATGAGCGACCTCATGGCAAGAGTGATTTTGCGTTGAATTTCAAGGCTAACGTTATTATTGGTGTTAATGCTGGTTAATAGATAGACGAAATTATCTACGACTTCAAAGTTATGACTGTCAACAGTGACCTGAGAGCCGAGTCGCGAATGCGATGACTGTTTGTCTGATGACAGGAGATATTTCGTCTTGCCCTCATTCACTGCCAGACCCATTTGCTTCGCTTCTTTATCGAGTCTGAGGAAAGCAGAACTCGCGACACGGTCGTTAAGGCCAATCTGTTAAGAAGCTTTATTACACGGTATTTGGCGCAGGCTGAGATCGCCTTTTTTGTGTATTGGGCAGAGCATACTTAGGTTCCAGTTATCGGGCAGCGATTGCTATTCGGACTTCTTAATAGTCGGGTGCACCAGCTTCTCAAGCTTCTCGTACTCCCGCATTTCGTCCTCTTTTTTACGTAGAGAGTTTGCAATGTTGTTCCTGATGAATGCTCTCAGAGAGCAGGTGGGCAAATCGAGTAGTCCGACAGTAGTGCCGATGCTAAATTTCACAAGGACTCACCTTCTTCCGTCCCTGCCCGCCCATCGCATTTCTTGGACACCGTGATTTCAGCCTTTAATTTTATTAGGGCATCAACCAGCTGGGCAGCCGCACCTTCCCAATTAAGGTATCGTTTAGTTTGCCTTCGTTCGTCAAAAGAGGACCTTACTTATGGAGGTGGCTCCTTTTCGTGCTGTTACATGGTGAATATCTGGCCAATTGTTGATTTGCAAAGGCCTAAAACCACACTCATAAGGTCCAATCAGGTTGTTGACATTGGGTTTTAGTCATTCACATAAAACCCTCGATACGGCCTCATATGTGATATTAAGGAGGCTTATTTTTTATAATAAAATAATAAAATAAGAATTATAAGTAATAATTGAAATAAAATTATTAATGATAATGCACATACCTGGTGCCACCAACATCCAAAAAGTTTTAGAAAATTAAAATAAATAAATAATTAGCTTATATTTTCTAATCGCTGTCGCCCCTCGGCCCGGAATGTCAACTTCTCCGAGTGCAATTCTGACATGAAATAAGAGCTCCTCATAAAAAAACCATCAGCCGTTTAAAGGCGGATTAGTATAAACTGTAAGTACCTCCATTTCTTGGAAAAACATCAAGATGCAAAACCACAAATTATAGGAGGAGCTCGGCCAAATAAATGCCATTATCAGTTACAAAGCGCCAATTATATATATATATATATATATATAATATATAATATCTCTTTAATTAAGTGATTTAAAAGAATGCGATCCCTTATATTAAACTGTTAATTAACTTGTTCTTAGTGTTTACCGGCAAATGACATGAAGTTACTCCAAGACATCGTAAGGGAAAAAATATTTTACTTACAACTTCATTAACGTGATCATCACATGCTGATTCGGCAAGGTTTATAGAATAGAAGGTTATCTATGAAACAGCGAAACATTTTGGCTTTAAACCCATAAAACGTTGCATGGTACTTTTTTTAATTAATAAAAATTTCAATTAAAAAGTTCTAAATCGTTTAATGCCGAACAAATATATTGTAATTTTCAGAAATTTTATAAATTAAACAAATTACGTAAATCAAATGTAATTTTCCAACAACTATAACTTCTGGTGTCATACAATACGAATGGCATGAATAAATAATGTCAAAAACGTGTAAAACTTTCCAAATTCTAAGGGAAAAGGCCGTATTTTTAACACATTTATATAAAAAGCGGTAGTATCTCTCAAAGCTTTTGGCAAATGGATAAAACTTATTTTGTGAAAAAGTCGCGTTGGGTTATTTTCGATAAAAATTTGAAAAAGAATTGTGTGAGTGATTTATATTAACATGTTCTGAAAAATTAAAACCTTAATAATAAAGTTTTTTGAGCTGAAAACTGTGGCACTAAGAAAACTTGAGTTTATCGGATCGTTAGTGGTAGATATTCGTATTAGCGCATACTGAAATTTTTCGAAAAAGCCTATTAAAGCACATTATTTCGAAAAACGAATTAATGTATTAATGTAATAATATTAATGTATCAATTACTGTAATGCTACATTGTACACCAATGATTGGCGACATTTAGTCAGCTTATAACGGTACTTGTTTAAGCGGACAAATCAAAGCAGAAGAAACCTCGCAGTAGTAACGCAGACATTCGTATAAGCGCATGTTGGAAAACTTCATATTTTTTTAAAAGAGGAACTGCAGTGTAGAATTTTTTTGTTTTTTATTAGACGATATGTAATAAATTAAAGGTGAAGTGGGCTTTTAGTGTGGATTTTTGTTTATTTATATTTTTTGTTATTGATAATTCAGAACATGCCTAAAGGATCTTATTTGACGTAAGAAGAACGCGTATCACTTAAATGATTAAAGGAAGAATCGTTCTCAAATCGTGCGATTGCAAGAAGAATAGAGAGGTCAGAGAATGTAATCTGTAATTTTGTCTAAAAATGTTAATCATTATGGAATAAAGACGGCTACAAATTGACGCTGCACCAAAAAGGGAAATACGCAAAGAAGCAACACACAATAAACTGAACGGCAGCCAAATTAAAATGAAATCAGATGTCAACTTCACCGGACGTTGAATGGACAAAATTGAAGAGCAAGCCACGTTTAACAGCACATCACATGCAGGAGCGGTTAAAATTTGGCAAAAAATACATGTCCTGGAAAAAGGAGTGGCAGAATATTACTTTTTGGTACGAGAAAGAATTCAATCTAGACGGGCCAAATTGCTACAGTTGTTACTGGCACGATCTAACCAAACAAAATGTGGTGCGATAGAAGCGAAATTTCGGAGGTCGAGTGTCATGGTGTGAGGAACATTTTGCTACGATTCCAAGCGAAATCTGGTACCCATAACTTGCCGCATGAACTCCACAGCATACACAAACCAACTACAACAAAATCTCAATCCTTTCATTGTAAGGCAAGCGACAGAAATCGATTGCGTATTTCAACAGGACAATGTCGCGATACATGCTTCTAGGCAAACAAAGGCATGGTTGGAGAGCCAGGAAGTGCCTTTCAATACAGAAGCGTCAATGTTGGCTTGATTTGAGCAGAGATTTGCTCAAAAATCTTGCTGAGTCTATGCCAAGTCGCATTTTTTCTGTTACTGAAAACCGTAGTGGCCACACCAAGTACTAAGATTTAGTTAAAGTTTTGAGCTTTATTTTATTTTTTGTTTTACGAAGTGGAGTGCGCTTAAACAAATGTCTACTTAAAATGCCAATTTCTTACGAAGTTTTTCCTAAAACAAAAAAAAAATGAATAGCTTCCACTCTTTAATTGCAACAAATAAAGCTTTAATTTTTTAAAGACACAACATATTTGTGTGCGCTTATACTAGTGTCTACCACTGTGAATGAAGTATTGCTTACAAAAAAATGATTAAGCCTCTTATTCACATTAGGTGCTCTTTGACCATTTGAGGCCTGGTTTAATCAATGGTTAAGATATGTATGTTATTAGATTACATTTTGGGTAGGGTAGAAAAAAGAAATTTATGATAATAAGCGACAAAAGTATCCTCAAGTAAACTCAGGCATTGTGCGAAAAATGTCGCAACCCAAGTGATGCAGCTATCTAAGAAATTGTATATAATGAGTTTTATCTAAAATTTAAATAAATTTGATCAGATATACAAATTACATTAATGTATTTAAAATTTTATATTTTATGTTTATTTTATGGGATTTATAACAAAAACAAAGTGCAGTATTTAATTGTAGCTCACAGCGAAAATGATGCACACAGATTTACCGTTAGTGACGGCGTCTTGTCGACGATTTTTGAATGCAAAATAAATACCGTTATAATCGCGACCAATATTGGTGTTAGATGAATTTGACATATAGTATTGAAGTTGGTTGAGTGTAAATCAAAACGGGTCGCCAAACAAGTATTGAAGTGCGCGGGTTAATTAACATTATAAAGATAAAGGTAAAAATCAGCGCAAAATCGCGGAAATGGTGAAATTGAACCAAGGAACTGTTCAGCATATCATTGAACGCTACGTTCGTGTAGGTCGTGTGTTATAAAAAAGGTAAAACGGCTCATAATAAAATATTTAACGAAAGTGATTCTCAATGGATTGTACGGAAAATACGCCAAAACCCCCACTTATGTGCTCCAGCTTTAGGCAAAGAAGTGCTAAAATATCTTGGAAAAAGCTTAAACCCAGAAACCATATGAAGAATACGCAGAGAAGCTGATTTCAAGTAAAGTTGCAAAGTACCTCAAAATTAAATATCCGTGACAAGTTTCTTTACTATCAAGGTAATGATCCGAAACACAAATCAGGCGTTGGGCTTTTTTTAGACGACTTAATTTCAAATCTCTCGTTCCAAAACTAACCGCAGATTCTCAATCACATTCAACTGTGCGCTGGGGTTTGTATTATGTGCGGAGAGTCCCAATTAAACCGACTAAAAACAGAATGGAACAATATTGGTCATGACAACACGAAGAAGTTAATGGAATCCATACCCAAACGTATGAAATCAGTTGTAGACAGCAAAGGGGTATCTTACTAAATATTAATTAACATAAAATTTTAGTTTTGTTCTTGAAATGTATTGTTTTTTTTTCTGCATCATTTTCGCTGTAAAGCAAAACTTAATAGTGAAGTTTGTTTCTGTTGTTAATACCATAAAATATAAAATTTTGAAAGCATAAATGAAATGTGCATATCTGCCGCTATTAACTGGCATTCATGTTATTTGAAAAATTTATTAAATTTTAAAATAAAACTTATTATACTTTTTCTTCTCTTTCGAAAGTCTGTCTCAGGTTTTACTCTTTTACGAACCAAATACAACAGCATCAGAGATGGAATGAGCAGTTGATCGCTCTTTTTTTAATTTTTCCAATTTCCTTTTCAATAAGTTAACTTTTTCCTCTAGACAATTGCACCTTCGCTCAAGTTTTTTTCAATACGCGCTGTTACCACCTCAAAACTCTTTTGGAGCTTAGCTGTGACCTCTCGCTCGAGATCAGAAATACTTTGTGAAAGCTGCGTATACACTGTTCCAATACTCTCTTCTATCTTCTCTTTCATTAGTTTTAGTTTCTCCTGGTGTTGACTGCAGCGCCTAAAGCACGATAATTTGGATTAGGCAGAGCGCACTTAAGTTCCAATCGTCGGGCATACTTTCATCTGACCATATTTTGCAAAGAAGCTAAAGCATGCACCTCATCAGTTCTTCAGCGCCGTATTTGAATAGCTCTGCCGGCAAGATATCGCCCCCGCACTTTTGATTTTAAAGCGAACGATTTCTATTCGAACTTCTTCATGGATCAGCTCTTTGTGTCCTACAAAAATCTGCCCCGGTCTTGAAACCTTTTGTAAGTCGTCGTATCTTTTCGGAGAAATTTCGAGTAACGCCCATGTTTGCCAGATTTTCAAGCTCCTCACATTCACACTTCTCGGACTCTATCTTTCTTTGTCTTCAAATGCCCAATTCCTAATTATTCAAATAGCTATATTTAAAAAAATACTGTACGGATTTCTATTCGCACCTCTGAACAAGTATTTACATATATGTATGTATATTAAAAAATTGTGAACAAAGAGAAATACTTAAAATACTTAGTTTCTTAAAAAATTACTTCATCAACCATTCGAAAATAGACTAATTGAGTAAAGGATAAAATTAACTTTGTCTTGATTTGTAACTTATTATGAGAAATACTTGTTCAAATTATTTTATGTATGTATTTATATTTATTTAAATTGGACGGACGGGTGGACATTCCTTGCTGAGGGGCGACCGACCTCAATTAGGAAATTTAACTTAATTTTTTATTTACATTTTTGATTATTCTCACTGCGAAATAGAGGAACAGAAAGAGTTTATTTTTAAAAACCAGTGAATTTTCCAGAATTTGTTAGTTTTTATTTTTTTCGGACTAAAAAGCTCTACGTTACTAAGTTTTATATGTAATTGCGATATTGTAAGATATTTATAATATCTTCTATGTATCTGAAAATTCAGTTCGAAATCTACATTTTATTTTACAGATTCGTATTTGTACAAACAAATAATATAGTGTAACGAATTGTTCTCCGAAATATCAAACTCTTAATATAGTACATTTTCCTTACTGTTTTAGAACTAATATTTACTTATATGTGTACATTTTTTGTTTACCGCCTCTTTCTACCAACTCCTAATTTTTTCCCTGGTGCCCTCTGACCACGTCCGCCTTTGGGTTTCTTGCCACCCTTTCCGCCGCCTTTTTTTCCACCCTTTCCTTTCTTGGCCTTCCTATCTTTTTCAATTGGATTAGATTCTCTCCTGTAATCAGAATATAAAATTAGGATTCGAAAATATTTTTTTAGTGATTTTAATCTTACTCTAGCTTATTTTCATTTTTTTGTAGAGAAATTGCTTTTTCAATGTCATATTTTGGTTTTTTGTTTAGTACGCTTTTTATCAAATCCAGATTAACTTCCTTCTCTGGTTGTTCACTAATATGAGAAGCTTTACGCTTTGCACCAGGTATTAATTCCTTCACACCAATACCACGAGCTTCTTTTTCTTTAGGTAATTTACTTTGGAATTTACCAACGGATGCTGTAGAGGATTTGGCGACAGTAACGGCAGTGAGTAATTGTCCCGAAGAAGCAACCTCTGGGCCGAAATAACCACCCCTTGGCACTTCCACTTTCTTCGCCCGAACAATATTCTTCATCCGTTGGATCTCGTTCTTAGCAACCTTTTCATTCCGCAGGTCAATTTTTTTCTGGAACATATCTTCGTTCGGATCCGCATTTTTGGGCACTTCTAGAACCCATTCCTTTTCTTTCTCTGCATCGGCACGTTTAAAACCATAAGTGGGAACCCATTTCTGTCAAGTTAATTATATCAATATATGTACATAAAAAAAATAACAGACAAATACATACATCAAGTACTTCATCGTACTTTTTCTTATCCCTTTTCTTCTTTTTGATTCCTTTCTCTTTTGCGATTTTTTCCCATTTTGTAAGTGGCTTTGGTCCTGGTGGTTTACGCAGCCGTGGCAATACCGTTGTCGGCTCAGGTAACTTTGCAACAATGCATTCGTCCACACGCTCAGTTGGCAGTGCCCAAATGCCATTAATTAATAGCTGTGTATTATCACGGGTAAGATTCAACAAGTACTGTTCTTTATTATTTCTATAAATAAATAAAAGTAGTAATAAAGAATATTCTTGCATGTAATTCTTTACTTAAGTTCTTTATCTTCTAAGTCATTCGGATCCGTACACAGCAAAGAACCAATATCCAGACGTACTTCCAAATGCTTATCTACCGTGATTGGCTTATATTTTTCTAGAGCACGTTGCTGTTTTTCTAAAATCTCCTTCACTATGTCCATTTCGAAGTTATATTGTGAGACACATTTATATAAAACGCAGACAAAATAAAAGTTCTCTGTTAAAAGAAAACTAAACTTTTAAATGCACGTGTACAAAACAGAGTTGCTTTGGGAATGTAAACACGAACAAGAATTATAAAGTTGCCGGCATCCTACAAAAAAATTTTATGACATTTTCTGGCCAATTATGTCAAGTCAAAAAAAATTGCTTCCAATTACCATTCGATAATTCTGTTACTATATCGTATTCTGAGCTCATTGTCACCCAGTAAATTTTAATACCCGCGAAATAGAGGGAACAAACACACTGAGGTTTGATTTTGTGTTGTAAGTTTATAAAAAAAAGATTAAAAACCAAAATTCGTGCCAAAATGTCCTTGTTAAGAAGTTTGCAAGAAAAAAATTACCCTTTTAGTTTGGAAAATAGTGTTTTTATTAGGCTTTGGTTCAATTATTTATGTCTGAATAAACAAATAAATAAAACTTTGTTGCGCTCCATCTTCCATTTCGATGTGAATATTCTTCTTTTCACTTACCTACTGGCAAATGTTTTCGGGTTCGGGTGTTTAAAAAAATAACAAACTTTTATTACCGGTAACAGTGAGAATCGTCCAATTTATCTTATATTCTAACTTCAAGAGATTGTCACTTTAAAATTATTTCATATATTTTTTGTATAAAAAAATGCCAAGCTGTCTGAAAATCATTTTATTTCCATTAGATTTTTAGATAGTACGTTTTATTTTTCTTTATTTGCTTCTTTACATTGAAAGGTTTTGCACTTTTTATAAAATATGTATTATTTTAATACATGTAAGTTGAAAGTTTATTTTTCAATAAATGAAATTGGTAAAACGAAAGTAAAGCAAAAGTCAAAGAATCTTTCTATGTCAAGTGGTTAATATTTAAAAAAAATGTTGAGTGAAACTACTTTGTTTTTTGTATCATGATTGTAGTTATTAATTTTTCTTCACTGTAATGATTTTTCTTAAATACATCTCGATGATTTCTTTTGATTTGCCAAATCCTTCGAATTTTGTTGCAGAATTTCTTTAATGTAAAGAACTTAATCCCCATTTATTTATGACTTAATAATTTTAAATTCACTTCAAAATACGTGACTACTTCTTCCTCAACTCCAACATACACCCCTGTAAACACATAGCTTTCACCGCTCAAATTAACAACGATTTTGTAACCAACGAGCTTACTTTGTTACTAATTACTGCTGTGTTGATCGACTATTCATATGCCTCCCCGAGTGCTCGTACTCAAATCTGGAAATTTCTCACATGGTATCAGATACCGTTTCCAGCACTCAAGGCTGTCTTCTGTTTTTCTTCCTCGCCTTTATATATTATTTCATGTCCTTCTTGCAAATAGAATCGGCTTCAGAAAATTCGCTGAGGTTGATGTAAAAATAGTCCCAAAATAAAAGATTTCATTTAATTTAATACCCGAACTGGGATGCGTCTTTTTCTTTTGCATCTTTGTGAGTGTTCGTTCGGTGTATAAATTCGTGCTGTTTCAAAAACTCCATCAATCTTTTCCCAAACAATGGCTTCAGACTTTGATGGAGCCTGTTCGCAGTCCTCTAAACTAACTGGCTTGCAGTGTTTAAGCCCTTTGACCAATGCTGAGTGGCACTTCCATGTTGTTGTACTCCATAGTTTTCTTATGTATGTCGATCTCAATGCCTAGGCCAAACAAGAAGTCTATTCCTATGATGACCTCACCTACAATCTGTGCGACACTGTATTGATAACTTATGATTTTTACTCTCTCAAGGTGTTTACCATATGAACACCCAGATGAGCCAATTTCTACATTCTGCAAAAATTCTGCTATCGCCATTTCTTCAAACGGAGCTTAAAAGCCTGGGAAGGAAGTGCGTCGTCAAGAGATGGACAATTCATCTTCTGGAAATGACCCTCAAACCATTTCACCATGCCCTCGAGTTTATCTTGTCGTTCTTTTAAAAATGCATTTTCCCGAACAATTTGTGCGGAACTGTATGAAATTTGTGATTCCTAGCCCTCAGGGAAATCCGTGCGGACATGCGTGAATCCTTTACTTTTGATATGTGACATTGCAGTTAATAACGTGTTAATGTCTACACCAGTGGATGAACTAATATCCTTTTTCTCAACCTTTGTTAATTTTATGTTATCATTAATTTTCTATAACTTTTGGATGTTGATAGTACAAGGATTTGAACCATGGCCTTCCGAATGGCAGTACCCATTGGTAACCACTTGGCTACCGCGGCCACCATTTCTTACCATTTTCAGTTATTCTCTTTCAGGACATCAATTGTAACGATTTTCCTTAATATGCTTAATGATGCGGGAGTATGGATGATAAGAACTTCTGATGAGTCGGCATTAAGAGTAAATTAGCAAAGGTTTATGGTACTCTATGAGTTGCGAACGGCGAATACCACAGCCGTGGTCATAATTATTTTGTTTCGGTATAACTGTTTTCGCCCAGCTGTGTTCTGTTTTTTCGACAAGAATGACGAAAATGCACAACAGAACGAAGAGAGAATGTCAATGATGGGATGGGAAGCCTGCTTGTAGGGCAGCGAAACAGGACTTCTAAATTGCGTGTTGTGTAAAACGGTATTCGCGGTGGTAATTGTGAGGATAGACAATGTACGACATAATTCCTGTAGAATAACCAATTTAAATCTATCGATTTTTCTATTTCATCGATTAAAAAAGTGTACTCCTGGAATGGAAAAAGAACAGCTGATGCTGCAAATGAATGTAGAGTGTTGTACATAAATACAATGTTCCGTTTATCATAGTATTTAAACGCATCCTTAAACAAACGCAAGAAGGATGTAATTACATATAGCACCTATTTTGACAGTCATATCAGTATTACCTATCAGAAGTATTTAAAACAAAGTGGAGTGATTCTCTATCGTAGAGAATATGGAAGAAGTTAGCAGACTTGTGTTCCATCGGAGCGAAATATGCTTATATTATGCAGTGTACTTTGCATATCTTTTATATGGCCTATGGACTTTATTCAGCCTGCGTGACGAATTGCAACATAAGGCAGGATATATACGGGATCCGTACAACTATGAGTTGGACATTTTTAACAATTATATTCAGTTAAATTGGCACTGGTACTTGGCACATGCTGTAATAACTACAGTTTCGCGATTCGTTTTAACTAAAGAAAATATGGGTATCTCCTTTGCCTGTGTGTCTCTTACATCTTTATTAATCAGCCTGCCGTGGAAAATGTTTTTGTTTGTTGTCATATTGCTGATTATATTCTATTTAGTATCACGTATTGGGAGCAGAGTGATAGTGTGGTGTATAACCGCGTTATGGGTTTCAGTTCTTAATATTTTAGCAATTTATTTTATTAATCCGGCAGATGATAACCACAGTTTTTATATTTTTAGTGTTATACTATTTTGGATGTTGTTGCGCTGTTGTAGTTTTGCACATTATTGTGTAGATTCCAAATTTTCTAAAGATAAATTATTGGGAGAAGCTACTGTCACTGATTTTCTGGGATATACTCTTTATTTTCCGACATTAGTGAATGGGCCATTTCTAGATTACAAAAGATATATTATACTCTTACAAAAACCAAGCTTGCCAGGGTTCAGTTACGATATAAAGACTTTGGTGTATGAATTGGTACGAATTTTTTTTTGGTGGTTGGCTCTAGAACTTGGCATGCGTTGCTTGTTCGTACATTATATGTCAATGGAAATTAAAACAGCAAAACTTGTTAAGTCGCCTTTTGGAAGGCACGCCATCGGATACTTTTTGGGACAATTTTTTTTCCTAACATATTTCGTAAAATATGGTCTAGGAATAGCTTTCGCCCAATATGACGGAATGAAACCACCTAACAAACCACAGTGCATTGGTCACGTTCATTATTATTCGAATATGTGGAAGCATTTTGATCAAGGTTTATATGAATTTCTCTTCGACTATATTTACCATCCACTAGTTAAAGCAAATTGCTCCAAATTTGTATCAACTGTACTTACTTTTGCATTTGTATTTATGTGGCACGGATGTCAGACCGACATACTTGTTTGGACAGTAATGAATTTCTGGTGTTTGATTGTGGAGAAAATGTTAAAAAATTGTATGCGCTCCTTACATTATCGTAAGTGGGTGGAAATAAATTTTGGGCTTTCAACCGCACAACGCTTTAAGGCAATCGTATTTAGTCAGCTTTTCATCGTTGCAGCCTTTTCCAACATTTTCTTTATTGGGAGTCCCAAAATGGGTGTGTTTTTAATCATGAATGCATACGGAAATGGATTTTTAAATTATTTGATATTATCGTTTTGTTGCTACTGTTTCTTTCAATGCTCCGAATTAATTTCTATGAAACTTTGGAATAGGAATGTAAAAAATAGAACTAAAATCAAAAGTAATTAATAATATATTAAGAATATTGTAAATTTTTTTTATTACTTAAAAAATAATAATGCATTCAAAAACTCGAAAATTGTAAATACTGTTTATTTATTTTTACTATAAATTATGAGTTTAAATATGAATTCAATCCTGTTAATTTTCATTAAATAATAAACTCATAGAATTACTGTCATCTGTTAACCTCAGTTATGTGGCTACGACGTAGCATTTAAGATTTCGAGCAAACTTTCCAAATGGAATAAGTGGCACGCGGTTATTAGGAAAAAATTGGTCTTATGTGTTTTGTAAAAAAATTCTGAATTCGATATCGGCCCGAAGAGAATAGTCTAATTCTAGGGCCCTTTTCACCATCTCCGGTTAATCACTTAATCATAACATAACCGGATGGTAGCATAAAATTTTGAAAATAATGTGCGTTGACTAAATAAATATAGTTGGTAATTTATTTGATTTCGCAGGAATAAAGATGCAGAAATTTTGGTTTTTTTTTTGTGCGGAATAAAAGCGGCGAGTCTGTCAGTAAGGTGGTGAATAGTGTCCATTGCTGTAGATGCACTTGTCCAATTATTCTTCAGAATAGCGAAGTTTCTCAAGATGTGACAGCATTATTTTATTGAATGTTTTTTTACAATGAAACTCAACGCCGTTTTCCAGAACTATCCTTAGATTGAGAGTTTCGCTCATCACAACTATGAACATCATTGTTGCCTGTGGAGTATTGCACTATATTGTCATCCAACCCCTGCGGGTTAGGGGCTCTAGAATTTACCCGCGGTAAGGCATGCATGTTGTAAGAGGCGACTAAAATCCCGCGACAGTCGGGTCTTTATACCGGAAAGACCCGGATTTTTATCCGGCCAAGGACTGTCACTCCCGCAACTTTCCCCAAAAAGTACTTTGGGGAATAATTTTGCGGTTACAACAACAACAACAACTCTAATTTGTACGCAGTAGAATTTCAAGCGCATGAGCCAGCAGAAACTTCCGTTGATGCCGACGGAAACATAGCTGAGGAGCAAGGAAACCATATATATTACATACATTTTATACATGTAATTTAAAACCATTAAAGTCCCTTTTCAAAAAATATAAGAAATAAATTTTATTTAATTACAATTTTTTCCATAACCAAAAAACAAAACTTAGAAAAATAGTAGAGAAAAGGGAAGATCTTAAGAATTACTCAACCATATCGTGTAGAGAAATGTAAGCAAATGCATTTTCAATGTATTCATAACAGAAGTTTGTGAATTTGAATTAAAATGTTCATAATGATTAAACTAACTAGAAGTTAAGTAACCAGAACTTTGTGACGGTTAACTATCCTCCGGTTAAAGGTTATGTTAATCTGACATCAACAAGTGCTTCTTCTGCTTCATTCACTTGAACTTCTACTTCATCAAGAAGAAGAAGACCGCCTGCTGTTTTCGGTATTCTGGTGAATGATTGAACAAGCCGCTACAGCAATGGACACTATTTACCACCCGACTGACAGTCGCCACTTTTATACCGCCAAACCAGTAAAACAAAATAAAAAATTACCCGATGCATGAAAGTGTAATGTTAAGAGAAAAATTTCCGCTTCTTTATTTTTGCAAAATCGAATAAATTATCAATAATATTTATTTGCTCAAGTGCGGTTTTCCTATAAATACGCTTCTGAACCAATGAATCCAGATTGGAAATGCATTCCATATTTTTCACAATTAAATTTATTTTAAAGCCAACACCGGAATTATTTTTATTTGTTATTTTATTTTTTGCACCTGTCAAATTATCTTCTCGTTAAGAGCTAATCGCCATTCAATGTTGGCGTTAAGTTAACCGCATCTTAATAGACAGATGCGCCTTATAACCTATTTCCACCGGAGCTTAAATGCATTATAGCTTAAATGTATTTAAACATCGCATTTAAATGCGGTAATTTCCATGTGTTTTTTGTTGTATAAAAGTGTGTTAATTCACTTTTCAAATTGAGTTAACTCACTTTCGGCAATTTAACAGAAAATGTTATGTTAACATTGGATGCTGTCACTACTAATGTAATCATTTCGGAAGTTTCGGAGTACTTCTTGCCAGAGTCGTGTATTTTCGGATTTAATGAGGGCCGAGACTTTTATTTTGCATGGTGAAATTTTTTGTATAAAAATTCCTATTTTGCGCTAGTTTTAACATAAATGCCTATATTAAGTAATTGGCGAAGAGAACGCTTCTCCGCCCTCAAAAAAGAACTATAAAAAACAAACAAAAAACAATTGTGAAATATCAAACGATCCCCTCAACATAAAAATATACGTGGCTCTGGTAGCTATTAGCTGATTGCTCAAAATAAATAATTTGAGGGAACAAACAAACAAATATGAAAATGGAAACATGCATAAAGCATTTTCGTTTCAGCAACGTTTGTCCGTGCAGAAATAATCTGCACTTGCAAGTCTTAAGATTGCCGAAATAGCCAAATAATTGAATTCATGATTTCTATAGTTGTGGCAAATTTTGTAAACTGCAAATGTAAACAAAAATCAGCTGTTTGAGTTAACTCACTTTCGGTGGAAACGTTTGACATTTCATTTACTTAACAGAGGCCTTAAATGCATTTAAGTGCTTGGTGGAAATAGGCTATTAACCGGACATTATGAAAACGAATTTTGTAGTTCCTTCCGATTGAGTTGAGGTTAGGTGCTTAACTGGAGATGGTGAAAACGGCTCTTAACTAAACCTTTAACCGAACTGGCTAACCGCCAATTAGGGAGATGTGATTCCAAAGAACGTATATTATTTGGTGATACTTTCGTTTTCACCAAGTTCTGGTTACCTAACTTTTGGTTAGTTTGATCAAAGAACGTATATTAATAAGAAGGAAAGAGAACTGTGAATTGTTTACTGAAGTGGCTCAGGTTTCACAGACGGAGTGAGTCCGCTTTGGACCTTCTTTCGCAAATTAAGTTCACCTCGAAGGGGTAGTCTTCTTATCTTTTCTCGGCATTTTTACGGGGGCGATGATAACGAAAATGACAGTTTGAATTTATTTCAAATTATTTTAAATAATTTTGCTTCCATATTTATTTGGTGAAATAAATTAATTTTCATAATGAAATGAAATAGGGTGAAACCATAAACTTCATTATTGTATTTATTTATATATATTTTTATTATATTATCCAATAGCAATAGCAAGTGACGGTTTGCCGTCGACATTCCGCAATGGCGTTGTTTTACAAGGAGGGTTATTTATTCATGCATTGCATTTTTTACAAATTATTGAGATGTTTAATTAATAATCTTATTAACTTATTAATCAATTTGTAGATACATAGATATATACGTACGTATGTATGTATACACCATACAAAATAATGACCTGCCTCAAGAATTACACACAGATTATTTGCCTGAAAACAAATTACTCCATCCCTCTATATACTTTTCTAAAAGCTCAGAACTGAAATCAAATACAACAATAAGATTTTCTTCATTCATAGACGCCTGCGCCCTACAACAAAGTTGCTTCTTCGCTGCCTTGACAAAAATTACAAAAAATCGGAAGCAAATATACGTTCTTTGGTATTGTGATGTTTTGGAACTAGCCTTTACTCCTCCGGTAATTGGCTTGTAACTTAGTGAATCTTTTAACGAACACTGTATTGTCGTGTAGTAACTGAATGGAATAACCTATAATATATGTTTACTCTTATCAGCTGACTTAAAACTGTCACTGCCAATATGTTTGTTATTGGACATTAAATTTTACTTCATAACGATAGTTCTCTATATTCTCTACTTTATACTCTGTGTTCTAAGTATACTGTATTTGAAATGAACATTTTACTACGGTTGTTACAAACTTTAGTACAAAAAATGCTTGCACTTTTGTCGTTTAGTCAGAAAACTATCACGAATTCGCTGAGTATATATATAAAAACTAATACTGGACGAACTTTATCTGTGAACTTGGAACCTCAATGGGATATAAAAAACGTAAAAGAAATCGTAGCACCACAGCTGGGATTACAACCGGACGAGGTAAAAATAATTTTCGCCGGTAAAGAACTCAGTGACGCAACTACTATACAGGTATTAATAATTGTAATTGGTTTTGAATTGTGTGTAATACCTCTTACAATAGGAGTGTGATTTAGGCCAGCAGAGCATATTACATGCTATACGAAGTAGGCCGAATGCAGATCCTAAGCGTCAGCGCTTGCATTCCATCCTGATGGAAGAGGAAACACAGGATGCAACGGGTGTATCTTCGCTTACTGGCAGAACAGCTCCTTTGCTCACAGAAGAGCCATCGAAACCGTTATGTGAAACTTTAGTTGACTTGCAATTATTGAGTGAAGAACGAGTAAATATTAATGAGGAAGGTAAGAGTAACTAATACCTTTTTTTTTTTTTGGAATATATTGGTAGCTCTAATAATGAGTTAAAGACCGACAACGGTCTAGGGCTCACTTTTTCGTACATTGTTCGCAGTGCAACAAGCTGTGTAAAGGAAAGCTGCGTGTACGTTGCTCACTATGTAAGGGGGGTGCCTTTACAGTACATCGGGACCCTGATTGTTGGGATGATGTATTGAAACCACGTCGCATACCTGGTCATTGCGAAAGCCAAGAAATTGCATGCTTCGACAATGCTACTGGCGATCCACCATACACAGAGTTTTACTTTAAATGTGGTGAACATATTTCTGGTGGTGAAAAAGATTTTGCTGCGCCATTGAACCTAATAAAAATAAATATAAAGGACGTTCCTTGCTTAGCGTGTACAGAAGTAAGGTAAGTATGTAAACTCAATCGGTTTTTTAGGTAATGCTGCAACTACCCATCTTACATATCACACTGCCATATCAACCTACTGACAACTTTTTTTCACATGGCGCTCTCATAAGATGTGTTGCTTTGGATGGAAGGCATGTAAGATGGGTAGTTGCAGCATAAGTTTAATGCTCTCCCATGGTATGCACTTCTTATAAATCGATTTATAAAAGTGACTATTACTGCAAAGTGCATTTATTTTTTATATACACTAATGTATTTATAACTTATTTCTTAGTGAAACCGTCCTCGTATTTCCTTGTGAATCGAAACACGTAACCTGCATAGACTGTTTTGAGCAATACTGTCGATCACGCCTGTCCGAGAGGCAATTTATGCCCCATCCGGATATTGGGTACACATTACCTTGTCCAGCGGGTTGTACAGATTCTTTTATTGAGGAAATTCATCATTTTAAACTTTTGTCCCGAGAAGAATATGAGCGTTATCAACGATTTGCAACAGAGGAATATGTCTTGCAGGCAGGTGGCGTATTGTGTCCACAGCCGGGATGCGGTATGGGTTTGTTAGTGGAACCAGAATGTAAAAAAGTCACATGTCAAAATGGATGCGGGGTTAGATGAGCTACTATAGCATACAACATATTCATTAGGTATTTTTCTATTTTAGTATGTCTTCTGTCGTAATTGCTTGCAAGGATACCATTTGGGTGACTGCTTACCGGAAGGTACAAATTCTCACACGAGCGGCTCTTGCGATTATGCTGTTGATCCAAATGTAAGTACATTGGAACGAAACACAAACGTAATTAAATTTTCTAGGCGTATTTCGACCCTACTTAATGTATACGAACAAATATTTGTACGTGTTTATATTATCTACCAGAACATGTTGTTCCATATTGCAAGAGCATTTCAAATAATTTGAAAAAGAAAGTTATTTAAACAATTTTTTTTTATAGCGTGCGGCTGAGGCACGTTGGGACGAAGCGAGTAAGGTGACTATCAAAGTCATGACTAAACCATGTCCGAAATGTCGTACACCCACTGAGCGCGACGGCGGTTGTATGCATATGGTATGCACACGATCAGGCTGTAGTTTCGAATGGTGCTGGATTTGTCAAACAGAGTGGACTAGAGACTGTATGGGCGCCCATTGGTTCGGATAAGAGTTTAATTATTATTTATTGTAAATATTCAAAGTGTGTACATATGTAGGCATAAAGTAATTGATCTAAACATGTTAAAATTCGCAAAAGCGAATTCAAGAGGCAGTCGATAAAAAAGAGATAATATTTCTTTCGAAAGTTGTATATTTATTATTGTTGTTGTAATTATTATTTAATGTAAATATTCAAAGTATATAAGTAGGCATAAAGTGAAATTACCCTAAACATGTTAAAAGTTCGCAAAAGCGAAATCAAGAGGAATAACGTTTTTTCCGCAGATAGTAGTTATTGTTTACCGAAATTGGAGAAACCTGTTAAATAATGTTATTAAATGATTCGATAGTCTTCGAATGCCTCACTCTACAAAATATTTCTTTCGAAAGTTGTCTAATCGGACGTAGTAAAAGACCACGTTCCTGTAAGAAAGTTTGTGGAGTTTGTTCGTTGAGGAATCATATTAGGACTTAAATCAATACCAAGTTTGTTTATGGCTCATCATCAGGTTCCAAATTGTGGGCGATATCCATCCAAGCATTCTTTTTTTAATGTTTGAATTTAACGAATTTTAAATGTTTATTTCACTTGTACGATTTCGGGCAGTACTAACCCATAAGCAAGTAGTTTTGTTTATCTTTCCACTCTGAATACAAATTGAAGAAGAATGCAGTAGAAAGGATTATGCGTTTCATTTTATGTTCCTATTTTCTAGTAGAACGCCATTTTTATTGTGATCTCCGTAGCAGATAGAATTCAAAAATCTGGATAAGGATTGGACAAGTTCCAAAACGTCAAAATACTATGTATGATGAGGTTGCTAAATTATAAGTTATTAAGGCATAGAATTAGAGTATATTATTCGAAGCAAAGTTGATTCTACGGCCAAAATGAGGATAATGCATTCCTAAACTTCCGGCAGCAACGACGATGCACAAAATGAAATATTAGGAGCATTTAGAAAGAGAAATAAAGCTCTTGGTTGGTTTTTATTTAAACAGCATTGAATAAACTCTATAATAATATTGAGTTAATATTGTTGTTGTTGTTGTAACCGCAAATTATTCCCCGAATCGGTTTTCGGGGAATATTGCGGGAGTGACAGACCTTGGCCGGATAAAAATCCGGGTCGTTCTGGTATAAAGTCCCGACTGTCGCGGGAACGCCTCTTACGACAGGCATGCCTTACCACAGGTAAATTCTTGAGCCCCTAACCCGCCGGGGCTGTTCAGTTAATATTACCGACTTGGGGTGGAGCTTTTGTTCCTACTCTTGCGTCCTGAAACGTGAGCAAGCCTTGTGCAGGACGCGGTAACCAATCCGTGTGGAGCCTTGGTTCACGGCTAATGAGAGACGAAGCTTCAGTGGAGCCCCTCCGACTTATTCGGTTTAAGGGTCTGCTGAAGTCTAATTGCAACGTCTGTTCACCAGAGGGAACAAGGACGTAAGCGAATAAGTTCCTGTGTCATTGGCTACAGCGGCCATATGAAAGAGCGCAAATTTGGTGTTGGATTTGTGGTGGGAGAGAGACTCCGTCGTCGAGTACTGGCATTCACCCCGGTGGATGAGTGTATCGCCACAATCCCCATCAAAGCGAAATTTTTCAACATATCGCTGATTTGCGCCCACGTCACGATGGAAGAGAAGGACTATTTGGCTAAAGATGCCTTTTATGAGCGACTAGAGCAAACTTATGAGCACTGCCCCCATACGACGTGAAAATTGTGCTTGGTGACTTTAATGTCAGGGTGGGCAAAGAAGGTATCTTTGGTACGACTGTCAGACAATTCAGCCTTCACAACGAAACATCCCCTGACTTCGCTGGGGCCCGAAATATGGTTGTCTGTAGTACTAGATTTCAGCACAAAAAGAGAGTTCGACGTTGAAAAGCTGCAATCACAACAGACTGCCGAACGATTTTTTACTCGATTTGCACTCCTGCTCTCTGAGAGCACTCATCAGCAACTCGGTATACGGGAACTGTGGGACGGCATCGCAAACTCCCTACGTATAACAATAGCCCATTGACGGCCTACCGGCATAACTATTCAAACATGGCGGTGAAGAGCATGCATTAGCTACTTCGCAGAACATGCCCGACGATTGGAATTTAAGTGTGCTCTGCCCAATCCATAAAAAAGGGGACCCCGCAGTCTGCGCTAATTACCGTGGGATAAGCCTCCTTAATATTGCCTGTAAGATCCTGTCGAGCGTATTGAGTGAAGGACTGAAGCCCAAACTGATTGGAGCTTATCAGCGTGGCTTCAGACTTGGTAAATTAATCATTTTCTAGATTTTTTCCATGCACTAAATCTTAGAAAAAACCTGGGAAAATAGGATCGACACAAACCTCCTCGTTCTCATTCGTTGATTATAAAGCAGTCTTTGACATCACGAATAGAAGCTGCCTTTGCGCCGCTATGTCTGAATTTGGTATCCCCGCAATACACTCATAGAGAAGGTACAATCTTCTATAAGAGTGTACGACTACTGGCGTATGATATTGACATTATCGGCCTCAACAACCACGCCGTTAGTTCTGTTTACTCCAGACTTGATAAAGAAGCAAGGCGAATGGATCTGGTAGTGAACGAGAACAAAACGAAATATCCCCTTTCATCAAATGAACAGTCATCGCATTCGCGTCTTGGCTCCCAAATCACTGTTGACAGTCATAACTTTGAAGTCGTAGATAATTTCGTCTATCTAGGAACCAGCATTAACACCAATAATAACGTCAGCCTTGAAATCCAGCGCAGAATTACTCCATCCAACAGGTGCTACTTTGAACCGAGTAGGCAATTGATAGTAAAGTCCTCTCCCGACAAACGAAAACCAAACTCTACAAGTTCCTCATCGTTCCCGTCTTGCATATGGCGCGGAAGCATGGACGATGAAATCATCTGATGAGTCGGCGTTAGAAGTTTTCGAGAGAAAGCTTTTGCGTAAGAATTATGGGTTTTTGCGCATTGGCAACAGCGAATACTACAGACTATGGAACGATGAGCTGTACGTGTTATACGGCAATATTAATATAGTTCAGCGAATCAAGAACCAGCGGCTACGCTGGCTAGGTCATGTGGTCCGGATGGATCCGAATACTCCAACTTTGAAAGGTTTCGATGCCGGCGGAAGCAGAGCAAGAGGAAGACCTCCACTCCGTTGGAAAGACCAGGTAGAGAAGGACCTGGCTGTACTTGGTGCTCCCAATCGCCGCCAAACAGCGCCAGTTACTCACAAAAATGAGTATACACAGGTTTTCGTTATAGAAATACACAAACTATGCAAAATTGAGTGGAAATATTTGAATTTTTTTTGAATCCCATTTGTAGCTTGAACTCTTATCGACTACATTTGAGCATAAAATAATTAATTTATTTAGCATAAAGGAAAAACTTAAACAAAAACCTAAAATTATTGATAAATTCAAATCATAAAATTGAGTACACACTCCATGGAAAACCATAATTTAATTCACTTAATTTTTTTTTTATTTAATAGGCTGTGGGTCCACCAGCTGCGTCAATTAAAGCTCGCATCCTCGGAGGCATCGATTCTAATATTTTTTTTGTGAAATTAGGTGATATTTCGCCCCATATTCTAATAATCTCCTTTATAAGTTGGCTTGGAATTCAATGCTCCCCATATTCATATCGGGGGTTTTTGGAGGAGTATTAAGCTGTTTTGGAGCACTAAAAGGTAACCATTCGTTCACTATCACTGCTGTATGTTTTGGATCGTTGTCTTGCTGGAACCAAAACACTGACGGAAGCTTAATTTTTCCATGCTTGCACGTAAATTACATTTCAATATATTTAAATAAATCTCCTTGGCCGTGTTGCTTTCAATAAATTAAATGGTGCCCACTCCATTAGCTTCCATAGACTCAAAAGCATGACTGAACCACCACCATATTTCACTGTCGAAACTAAATTTTTATTTCGTAGCTCCGTGTTTGGCTTTCTCCATACAATTCGGCATCAAACAGTTACCCAAAAGTTAATCTTTGTTTCGTCAGTGAACACTAGACTTTCCCATAAACTTAAAGGCTTATCAACATGATCTTTCGTGATAACACTGGAGATAAATGGAGTTATCCGTCCATGTAAATTATTTTTGCGAAGAATACGACGAATTGTTTCAGTTGATATTTTTTTTGCTTATTGTTTTGGACACTTCGAACGTTAAATTAGAAATACTTATCTTTGGGTTTATTTCCACTTAACGCACAATATTGCGTTCATCAGCAGTCAAGATTTTTTTGCGGCCTCTCCCACCGGAATTTCATAACGTTCCTCTATATCTCCATTTATTTATAATTGTTTGAACTGTGCAATGAGGTTTGCCTATAACTTCACCAATTTCTCTGTACGATTTACTTTCACAGGCCAATTTTATTTCTTTCTCTTTTATTTCAATAGGTGTCTCTTGTCTGGTACCAGCCATGTTGAAAGAAATGCAAAATAAATAAATTGCGTATCTAACGATAACACGCAACAAAAACTTTGAAATGTATTTCAATGCTAACGTGATCACATAACGAACAAAAAGATATCCAGAGATGCCACATTTAAATTGCAAGTGTATATTCAGTTTTGTGACCTAACTTTTTTGATCATTTTAGTTTTTTGTTTAAATTTTTGCTTAATGCTAAGTAAATAAACTAATTTAGGTTCAAATATAGTCGATAAGAGTTCAAGCTTCAAATATGCCTCAAAAAAATCAAAAAATATCCACTAAATTTTGCATAATTTGTGTATTTCACTTAAGAAAACCTGTTTATACTCATTTTACTAATTTTTGGGAGTATATATATAAATATGCATGTATATACAATTCTCTCAATAAACTTTCAGCTTTTTAAGCTCCAGCATGGTTACTCTCTGTTTTTGTTTTGATTTTGTTTTGCATGCATATTCGTAATCATTTTTCTACTTCCGCCAGCGTGAAATCAGAGAAAAGGTTTTGAAAAAACATAAGAGGCAAATAAAAAGGAAGAGGCATGTATTTGTTACATTGCTTCATACGCAGAGAGCATGCTCTCTAAATAAGATACTTTTTGTAAAATTTCCTCTGCTTCTAAATACGTAAATATGTACAAGTATCGTACTATTGTATTTTACTGGAAGTACACACGAACGTGTCCGTAACCGTGGCTGATTACCATAGGATGCACTAAATTGCGAATCACTTATCAAGGTGGCTCAACGCTGAAACGAGCAGTTTTCTTTACATTACAAATACATACGTATGTAAATGTATTTACAAAATACAGCGGTGGCATTTGGTTTATTATCTTCCTCAAAATTTTGTCAATCGTATGTCTGCAACGATGTTTATTCATACATCTACATGAGGAAGCAAAACGAAAAGTGCAGAGCAGAGAAAGAAGCGGTTTCTACGACAAAAATCGAAATTTTTCAGATTACTTACGGCAACGTCTACGACCGCCGTCCTACGTACACGGTGGTGAGTTATCATTTACATGATCCCATTAGTTTGATTGTGACATTTCGAACGGAACGTACGTTTACATTCGTGAGTGTTTCCACTATTATTTACTTGGTGTATAAAGTTCTTTAACAGCCCATTCAACTCCAATCCGTTTGCTCATCGTTTGATGCGTTTGTAGTTCGTAGACATTCGCGATTTTGACGTCGTCGGTTTTGCTCAGAATTTGTGCACGCAAATCGGGTCACAAAGCGAGCTTTTTCGCACGCTCGATTACATGCAACAGTAGTTTTTTTTGGTTAAATATGTAAAAGGCTACAATTATCACACATAACTCACGTTATTGTTGAAAAAAAATTGCATCGACATTAATAATAGACAATATCTTATGTTTTCTTCCGCCATAAATTATTATTGGGCAAAACGATAATCTATTAAAAAGTAAATCTATTTGGTCCTTTAACCGTTTGTGACGAGTATACTCGGCGAAAAGAAAATGTTCCGCGTGATGTCGAGTATGCTGGTCGTGAATGTAAAGAAAATCGCTTTGGTTTTAACGAATCAACTGTAATTTTTTTACCTTAATTTAAATTTTAAGATTTGAATCTTAGATTTCTTGAAATTCAGTTGTTTTTTATTGCTTCTGTTTTCATTCCTATAATGCCTTAATTTTATCTATGTATATGTGATATTATTTTATCAACGAAAAACACGAAAAGTTTGATTTTTGACCATAATTATACCTATTTTATTATGCAGAAACATTTCGCTCTGTTTAGTAACAATTAGCAGGGAGTAAAAGTTTTTAGAAACAAAATTAATTAAATTTAGAAAATTCTAACAAAAACAATCCAAGTGTATATTCTCTTTACTTTCGGGAAATTAATGCTTAAGTGATTAAGTAAGGCTTAGTTGATTAACATTATTAAACTACTATCAATAAATGATATATAATTAACTGTTAGTAAATGTACGTCAATCTCAAATGAATTAAAACATTAATTAAATTTCAAACAATCCGTCTGTCAAAAAAAAATTATTTTGTTTAACAAAATTTATATCTGAAGAAAAGTGAAGAAAAAATCCATCGGCTGTTTGGAGGCGGCGCAGAATAAACTGTAGGTCCCTCTATTTGTTGGGAAAACATCAAGGAGGAGGAGTTCGGTATACATATACATTACCTTATATAAATTTAAAGCCGATGTTTATCACTATTAGCTTAGAGTATCCCAAATGATATATGCAAATTTGTAAAAAAAAAACATGTTTTAACATATAAAATATAAATGTCTATTTAGTGGCAACATACCACTGTGCTAAATAATGACTCGATTCAACTTCTCAACAATATACCGGATGAATTTATTGGTATGCGTATATATGTATTCAAATCCTTGCCGACGCATAACGAATTGTTGACTTGTACACAATGGTGTGCCCCATTGGAGCTATGCTGCGCGGCTGACGGTTGCAGTAAGGGTGAAGCTGAAAATTTTTGCCTGCACGGTACTGTCTTGTTGGCATTTTATACTTACGTATGTACGTCTACATATGAATATACATATATACGCATACATAGAGAATACGGCTGCCATCAGCATTTAGCTAGCCGGGTCGCTAAGCTTTGAGCCAGTATTCGTCGCACTTTTGAAATCAACGGTAACATTTTGGCGGACAAAAACGCACATTTTGTTCTTTTTTTTTGTACTATACTTACTTCCTTGTAGGCACTTGATAAACCCAGGCGACAGCTTAATATACCAATGTGATTGAGTGAACTGTATACTCCCTATGTGTATAAGTTGGCTGACCTCCTGCTCGGGTGGACGTACTGAAAATTGTACTAGCTGCAGATAGTGTAAAGGATATGGATTTTCGATCGTATTACCGTTAACTACCTTTTCTGCAAAGTTTAAACTACATGTGGTCTTAGGCGTATAAGTAAATTTGTGTTAATACTTATGTGTGTGCGTACATAAAAATATTAATTGCTGCTATCTATTTCGTATTAAAATTTTTTAAGAAAATACCACTGTTCATTCATTAAATAACATGATAAGTGAAAACAAAATGGTATAAGCTCATGAAAACATTTTAAAGATACATACATACAATAATTCCGTATGGCTACATCTAGAAAGAGGTAAATGTGAATGTAATGTATCCCACAATAAAGGAACATCATATGGGATACCTGTATGACCACGTACATATATATATTAACTGATCAGTGTTCTAAGCTGTACGTTTTCGTGGGTTTAATTGACTAAAAATAAAATATAATTAAAAATTCTATGTGAGAAAACGATGGTGTTTCAAATTCAAATGATATAACATATTTTCGAATAATTAAATATCTATAATTTTAATACCAAAATATAAAGAAAACATTAAGGGCAATAATCTTATAATTGACATCCCACAGTTTAAAATTATAACAAAAATGACTTTTACGAACATAGGACTCTATTTTGTTGGACGGAACTGAAAAGAAAAAACGAGTAAAAAAAGATTGCACTCAACTTTCTCACCTTTTTTTTTTATAAATCTAAGAACTAGTGCTAATATTATATTAAATTCTTGATCTCATTATTTACGTATTGTTGAGTATGTGTATATATATGGATATGCATGTAAACAGGTGTGAAGTTTAAAAATTGTTGGCGTGACATTCACATAATATCAGGGCGGACAACACCCTTTCATCGTTTGGTTTAACCGCGAAAAGTAGCCCTTTGCAGAGTATATGTACATACGTATGCATATATTTACATACATTTGTATATTATATGTGCGCAATATAACATAGTTGTGTATGGACAATTTTATTGAATTTTCGCCAACAATGCGATATGCGAATTCGAGAATTTCAGGAAATTTTCCAGATTCATGAGAAAAAATGTAAAGTACTATTTAAAAAGTTTAATCAGGTATAAAAGAAAAATTTTTCTCATATGATTGCACATACATAAATACATTTTCGAGATTTTAAATTTGCCTTGAATTCATAACAACCAGCCATTGAAATACAATTTCCCATTTTATTTATCTCAGAAATAGACAAAAATTCTTCTAACAAAGCATGGAATAATATCAACGCACAAATATATCGATATATACACATCGAAACCAACTAATTTCAAAATTTTTTCGCGCTTTATTTAAAGTTGTAGTATGTGCGTTAAAAAATATGTTGTTGGTTTGTACGAATATGGCAGATCCGCGTTTGTCGACTGCCTTTAAAAACGTGCTTCTCTGACACGTGAGTTTTGCCAAATATCTTCTACGATTCATAGTGTGCATATTAATGCGTTCGCTACTAATGGATGGGCCTATAGTTCCAAGACGTCTCCGTATAGCTGAAGGTTTGGTAAGAAATCGTATATTCAGCTCTGATATACATACATGTATTGATACTCTCCTATCCACAAAATTAGACAAATCACAAAATGTTCTTAACATATGGAATGAAAGTCAAGGAAACAAAATCAATACAAACGAACACTCTCGTTGAGAAGCATGCGAAAAGCACTGTAAGGAAATGGGCATGAACAGTTTAAAGAAAAAAGCCCGAGAACTTACACTCCGCCATTGCATTACTTGAGCTTTTGAGAGGCTTTCTTTTATATATGTATGTACATAAGTAATATATATGCACATTTGCACTTAAAGATGGTGATTTTATAATTTTTCCTTTGCTTTTCTTTCTATGATTGTTGAATTGCATTTCTACCATACATGGATATGCATGTTTACATACACACTTATATAGTTGTTTACATTTTTTTTAATCGCACATTTAAATCATTTGCTTTGTTGGAAAGTGTGAGTTTATTGATTTTTTTTAATAATAAGGGGATACCCTTGCACCGACTAGGGATATTTGAATACGGAAATGACGCACAGTGATGACAACAATCAATATATGGAAGAAGACAACAATATTTGCGAAGTTGTTTAAATTCAAATAATATCTTTCGTTGACTTATTTTGCTTTGAACCTCTGACTAAGTGAGCGCTTTAAACGCTGTCAAAGCGTAAACATGGTAGCAATATCTATAGCCAAAAGCACAGTCGAATAGGACATAGATCTACTTAAATCGAGCTTTTCCTCCAATTTTTGGTCCTGCGTCTTGATGTTTCTCCTAAAAAGAGAGGGACCTACTGTTTATACAAAGCTACCTCCGAACGGCTGATAGTTTTTACGAGGAGCCTATTTTTCATGTCAGAAATACACTCGGAGGGGTTGACTGCAATTCGAAAATTTAACTTATATTTTTATTTAAATCAATTTTCTATAACTTTTTGGATGTTAATACGACACCAGAATTTGAACCTGATCCTTCTGAATGGCAGTACGCAATGCTAACCAATCGGCTACCGCGGCCGCCTAACAATAAGTACAGGAAGTTAAAACTGAATTAAAAACGTTTTAGCTTTCAAAAGTAGGTAACATCTCTTGGGCTGGGATGATTCTCAGTTTCATGAGATACCTCGCTCTGCTCCTTTTAACTTCAGGCTTAACCAGAAAGAAACCAAGGTCATTATGTACATATGTTTACGTTACCATAGTGTGCTCGTTATTACCCTGACTTTAATTCTCAATTCTCAAATATTTGCACTTTTGGGATTGTTGGAATGTCTGCAGAATATATTATGTATAATGCCCAAGAACGTTACCTTAAAGAACAGCAGCTCTTATTGCAAACTTCTTAGTGCTAAATTTCGATTGTTTTGCGGTAAACAGCCTTTTGGACAGATACGACTCAAATATATTGTAGTATTCGATATGCAAAGTTTCATAAATTTTTTACAATAGAACTTTATGGCAAAATTTGTCCAATGGTTGGGCTACATCAAGAAGTGTTGCATTGCGATATTTCTTGAACTCGAATGCCTTTCTTATTTCACTAGTAGTTCGGTTGACTTTATTTTACTGTAACATGTTATTCACGAAAACCGAATGGGTGTAACTTTGTAAAGTAACTTTGCTTAAGAATGGTATAAAGATTTCAGAG